TTGTGTTAGTTCGAGAAACTACGAATTTAGTTTGTGACCGAAAAGTTTGTGGAAATAAAATAGTGAAAAAGTGGAAAAAATTAAGTGAAACCGAGGAACGATTACTAAGAGAATAGTTAATCTATACAACTATTGTATAAATTATCTATTCTCTTGTACTTTTGCACTTTTGATCTTAGCTTTGTTTCAGGTGTTGCTGAAGAAGAGAGTATTTTTGTACATATATAGGCATATGTGTAATGATATTTTAAAATATGTATAATATGTTGATAAATATTTGCTTCCTACTGTTATATTAAGATTAAAATTTTATTTATCACAGTTGATTATTTTTATTCTATATGCATATAAAAATTATTATCTTATTTAATTTAAAAAAAGTTATTATTAAATATTGTTTATAATTGTAATTAATTACAGTAATGATTTTCTTAAATGTAATCCGTAGGTATAACATAAAATTTTACTTTTTGTTGTTTATATTAATATCTTAAGCCTGCGATATATGATGTTTGTTTTTCTGCTGGATTGCTTACGTTTTAGTTAGAAAATCTGCGTTCTGTGTGATGCAAGTAATTTACAAAAACGGTAACAATCTAACGAGAAAAGACGCATTCTATATGTCGCAGTCTTTTATTAAAATATTTTTACGGTATAATATTTATATTACACAATATTTACATAAATTTATATTTCCTTATCTTTTTATTTTACAATGCATTACAATTATGGTCTATTTTTTAAGTTTTTATTACATTTAGATTAATTTAATGTACATATAAATGAGATAGAGTAGCAAGAAAAAGATGGAAAGATGGAGAGTAAAGAGCAAGTGAGAAAGAAATTTAGGTGGCGCGCATGCGCAGGTTGCTTATTTCGCGCATGCGCACTCATTTTGTGTGACACTAACATCAAAGGTGCCGACAGAGAGTTGCGCTACTGGATATACTGTGGCTGTGCCGTGCCGCACCATCCACACGCGCTCGCGGTTATGGGGCAACTTGAATAATGAAATTCTCAAAAACGAAGAAAAACATATCGTTGCTGATTTTTTATAGAATACACATATGTTGGTAGTTCTTAAAAAAATTTTTTTCAGAATTTTTCATCATCTTCTTGGTTGTTTAAAAAATTCGTCAAAAATATATTGTTAAATAAATAACGAAAAATTTTTTTTCGCACAACGTACATAATTTTACATTAAAATTCAATCTTTTTCACACAAATTTCCATTCTCATATGGTGCGATAACGTTGCATTAAACCAAGTTATCGAATTTTGAAAAAAAAAGTGCTGAAATATTTAACTATTTATAACGCGATCGATTTTGCAAATTAAAAAAAAATCATTTGGGGTAACATTACATTTGGCCAAAAGCTACCGATATGGAAAATTACATCAATTTCTGAGACATGACTGATATTCCTCACGTGGAATGTCTCATACGTCAAATAAGGCAGTCTTAATTGACTATGAATTCGTAACTAATGAGATAGTCTTAAGTCATTGCTTATTTTGAATAAGATGTGTTTATGAATCGTATCAAGACGTTTTGAAACAAGATCGTCTTCGAAGTCATGTCTTGAGATTTTACTCAAGTGCCGCCTTATTTTTCAACTATGAATCTAGAGGGCATCTTAAGACGTTACTTAAGGCAGTCATAAGGTATGGTCAAAGTCTCGCTACAAATGTTTTGAAGCATTTGATTGACCAATCAGAAGAAAGAACTTTACAAATTGATCAATCAAAAAACGCTTCAAAGCATTTGCAACATCGCGTTGACCGTTAAAGCTTAAATCTTAGGTCTTAAGATCTCATTGTAGACGTCGCTTAACATCCCCTCTCACCTTTCACTTACATCTTCATCATCTTCGACCCACCAGACCTCTTCTTCTGTCCCTCCCCCCCCTATCACCCACCCCTACCATCCCTCTCTTTTGCCAAAAATCATGTCATAAAAATGAAAAGTTCAAGCCATGTTCAAAAAAGGATACTCAAAAATTTAAACCTTTTTATCTAATAATAATAATATATTATCATGAAAAGTAACTGATATATTATTAATTAAAGGTGCCAGTACAAAGTGACCATACATAAAGTGTATGCAATTTTCGGCCGATTTTCGAATCGCCTCCGCCTTCCGCTGTCCTCCTCACCTCACCGTGCTGCGCGCAGATCAAATGTCGCTCGAGCATCGTGCGGCATTTGGATCGCACGCGGTGAGGTTAGGGGGATAGCGGAAGGCGGAGGCGATTCGAAAATCGGCCGAAGAGTATGTTCACTTTGTACTGGCACCTTTGATTAATAATATATCAGTTACTTTTCATAATAATATATTATTATTACAATACATAAAAAAGTTTACATTTTTTAGTATCCTTTTTTGAACATGGCTTGAACTTTTCATTTTTTTAATGCTATATTGTAGTTAAATATTTGAAAAAGTTTTCTGGAAAGTTTTAGATCTTTAAATGTAATAGTAAAAAATTATGATAATTTATATGCAACATCAGCGAAATGTCTGATTCGATATTGCAACAACATAAATTATGTATTATAAATTATGTATTATATTATTTTGTTTTAAATGAAACTTTTTTGTTTATGTTTATCAAATGTGTCACTAGTATAAGAAAGAATATTTAAAAAACTGATTTCTATAGTTCTTTCCAAAATATTTTTCTCACAATGCTACTGAATCATTATAAAGATGCTTTTTATACTTACAGAAAGTGAATCTTCTCCCACTAAACTAGAAGCAACTGCTAATATGTTTGGAGAATAAAATTTCTCATACATAGAACTTGCTTGACACGTGTCAACCACAAATAAAATTTCGTGATATCTCCGTTTTTGCCACATTTGTTCTAATGCATCCCCCAACTCTTGACTGGTGATTTCTTCAGAATCTTGAAACTTTAAAAATCCATTACCACCATGGCCCGTTAAATAAATTAAAATATTTGAACCTTCATCAGTTAATAACTTTTTTGATCTTGGAGTTCCCTGAGCTAAGCGTCCAGTTAACAGCCTTACAAAATTTTCTACAGTTACTTCGTAACCTCTATAGTCAACTTCTACATCATCACCATAAACATTAATATGCTGCTTAATGTTATTAAAAACAGTCGCTGGTCTAGGATTTCTAGGATTGCACGCCATATCATCGGCTATCATCAGAATGATTTGCGAATCAGGTATTCCTAAACGTTTGACACTTCGGTAAATAGATAAAACATTTGCAACATGTCGATAATTGAACCAGAAACGTGACGTATCGACCAAAACGGCCCAATTATTGGAATGCTCCGTTTTCACAAAGTTATCCGCTATCTATAATAAATAAGAGAATAATATAATAAATGATTAGAGATAAGAAAAATCAAACTTTAAGGGTAAATTGTAAAATAAAATGCAGAAGAGACGCGTACATACTTCCTCTGTATAGCACGACACTAAAAAAGAAATCAGTATCGTTATACAACATGCCAAATGCATTTTCATCTTCAATGTGGTTCTCAAATGTTTCTATCAGTGATGGGTAGTTCGCGAACGGTTTTTTCTTCTTAGTTAGTGGCTCCTGCCTCCTTGGAGTAAGCGGAGGCAATACGGCCAGATCACGTCTTATAATAGTATAGCAGGAATTTAGTAGATATACAGATAGGTTTCAACTGATATCGGCGCCATGAGACGAAGACTAACATAACAAACAGGTTATGCTCCTCGCGGAGGAAAGGCAAGCGGTATCTGCGATTACAGTGTTGCCAGATTCTAGTGAAGCAGTTTCCTTATTGGGACATAAAAATCTCCCTAGTTTTCCCTAGTTTTCCATTTAATTCATAAAATTACTGTTTTTTCCAAATTTTCCACTAATTTCCCATATTTCTCTTAAAATTCACAAAATTTTTGTTTCTTTGCAAATTTTATTAAAATAAAATCATGAATTATATTTTATTGATATATTACAATTTAGAATTATAATAAATATGAAACAGAACATACATATAAAGGAAAATATATAATAAGTACTGTAAATTAATAAATAATAAAGCGTTGTATAAGTACGATCAAGCCTTCAATTTCATGCAAAAATAATGGATTTCTTTTTACTACACCTAATATTTTTATTGTGCATTTATTAGATTTAAAAAAAAACAAATAATGCGTATGATTTTAACATAAATCTAATACGGGATCTACAATGGAAGTTGTAGCGGTCGTAGGATCTCAAATCATAGAAAATTGACCAATCACAGATGAATATGAAAAGTATGATCGACTCTGCTTGGTCAATTAAACATCTGGGGGCCTATTACGGTTTTCGGATTGGGCGAAAATGACGAAAGTGAGAAATTCACCCAAGGTTAATTTCACCTCGTGAGAATATGAAATTATTCGTGTGAGCGGGCTCGGCATAAAATTTCACCGTAAAAATGTGAAATCACGCAAGAATGACAAAGAAAGACGCATTACCTTATTCTGTTATTCATATAATGAATAATTTAATGTTTGTGCTTGTGCAACAAGAAGAATATAGGAGAAATAGGGAATGTAAACAAAATGTAAACAAAATTAATTTGCGTATTATTATATGTACTTATTATTATACATTTATCTACTAAAACTAAAATACTACCACATTGCTGATAAAATCTTATATTTTAACATATATTGATAGATAATGTGTAGTACATACTAATACTTTTTTATTGCCGCAATTATATCGTAGGCGGCTTCGTGCATAATCTTCATTCATACTCATATAATTTAATAAAATTCTTTTCTGTTTTTCTGTAACGTTCATCTCTAAAAGCCTAACCTTACTAATTATAATTAAACTTTAATCCGACTGCGAATCGTCCGCCTCACTCAAGATTTGCAAACTGTTTTGTTTGGTTTGGTTTCGTGAAAATGTGAGATTACTATACTGGAAGTGCCTAGTTATCTCACATTTTCACTCAACAATTCCGTAATTGGGTGACCAAAGTCACGTGATATGAAAATGTGAAAAGTGATTAAATTCATCGAAAAACCGTAATAGGCCCCCTGAACGATCTGAACCAAAATAAAAACACGTCCGAGGGTATCGATTATGTAACTTTTTCTCTAGGGCGGAACGTAAAAAGTAAAAATTTTTTGCATGTATGTGTGTATATGTTCATACATACATTCATAAAAATTTTCACTTTTCACGTTTCCGCTCTAGATAAAAAGTTACATGATTGATACCATGAAGTAAGAGCATATATGTAATACTACTATATGGCTAGTGCCTATAAGAGGGAGTGAGAGGAAGCGGTCCCAGAACCACGGTGCGGGAATATATATTTCCCTCTCTTTCTAAGAGTACTTTGAGTGTTGTGCGCATGCGTTGGATTGATTGCATCCGCCAATAGGAAAATAGAGTGCGATCAGTGAGATGACGCGAACAGGTTATGCTCGTTATGCTTATTAAATGTGTACTGTTGTACACAGGCAAAAATAGTCAAGATATGTTATTTATGTGGTAAAAAGCCTAATGCGACTGAAAACATTAGTTTGCATAGGTATGAAATAGGTATTAGTTTGCACTGATTATCATGAAATTTCTGTAAGAGATTGCACTGTATTCTTATATACATAACGGCAATCTTGAAAAAGTTTATTTCATAAAATTAGGATTAATTTATTTATTCCGACTAAACTGACTCTGTTAACTGTAACAAGGTTATACCCTGAAGCGGAATCAATCACTTTTTCCTTCTTCCTTACACATATATGTATATTTATCCTTCTATTTATTATTGATGGAGGGGATGATCCGACGCATGCGCACAACGTTCAAAGTACGCTGAGAAAGAGAGAGAAGTATATTCCCGCACCGTGGTTCTGGGACATGGACTTCTCTCTCATCTAGCCATATAGTAGTATTACATATATGAGTAAGAGTAAGGTTGTAGACTGAAGGTGGTCACGAAAAATGTTCCGTGTACTGCCATGTCCGCCGAACGGAATAACTTGCAACATTTCATCGCCATATTGAATATTTATATGTGTGCAGGATACTTGCGACTGTGTCTCATTCGTCGCGTTTTCACTCAGAACGAAAGAATCTATAAGAAAAATGCGGGGATCGGCCTTGTGAACCGAGTTATTAAGCGTTAAGCGGGGAGCACAGACTTTTGCATAACGCATAAACCATATACATAAAGAATTTGATTGGTCCATTGACTCATGCATAAGAAAATGGACCAATGAAATTCCTTATGCACATGCTTTATGCGTTATGCAAAAGTCTGTGCTCCCCGCTTTAGTCATGGTGGAAGTATATATTCCACCATGGTACTAGTAGTCCTATAGTCATCTATAGTTTTATATTGAGTTATATTACATGATGAATTTCTCCGTCGTTTACCGGCTCTTCCATTTTTCAAGAAACTCCATAATACCGATTCAATATACGGTACAAACGAGAGAATACATCGGATCAGGTAAGAGAATGAAAAGTTCATGTCGTACCGACATATATCTTTTCATCGATCTTGTCGATTATTCGTTACATTCTGTCATATTCACGGTTAAATTCCTTGAACTTCAACCTACTTCAACCTCAATCCTGGGTATTTCTATTCTTAAAAAATATCGCATATGCACCATGAACGTACCAACGATTAGACGACCGGTCAGTCTAACCTGATGGAGAATTCCAAGTTCGTGTGACTATTAAAAGTTAAATGATTATCAAGAGGGTAATTTAAATATTTCTAATAACCCTCTCCTCCTAAGATCTTAATAAAAATACACTCATTCGATGCAGTTTTACTCAAAATAAAAGAATCTGGCAAAAAGTGCGACGGTCGGCCTCGTAAACCGAGATATCAGGCGTTAAAGTTTGAGATTTTAGAGGTTAAGATATCTATCAACTTGATGAAATGGTCGCATTCAGTAAACTGAACTTGACTCAACTGTGCTAAAAGCGAATCCGTGAGCGCTTTCTATTATTAGTTAGTAATCTAGAAGAATTACTGTTTTAAAAACACAAAAGCAGTGCTTTAAAAACGTAACTTTAAAAGCTTAAAACTCTATTGTAGATCCGGACTTAAGCAGAATGATAAGGTAGCTCAATGATAAATAAATATAAATAGAAATGAGCATACAGCTACAACGCAAGATGTCATTCGCAAAGTCATACATTTAAAAAATAGACTAAGGTAAACGTTTCGGTCAAGTTATGACCATCATCAGCACATAAAAATTAATACCTAGAGAACAAAATATTTGTACGATGCTGGCATAATGCATGTACGCGTGCAATGGCATAATATCACTGTGACGTCCAGCTGACTGTATGTGGTAAACACAGTGATAGCATATCGTGTCCAAGGTATCGATCAAGAAACTTTTTCCTTAGAATGAAAAGTAAAAAGTGAAAAATTTCTCCATTAACTTCAATGGTAAAAATTTTTACTTTTCATTTTTCATCCTAGGGAAAAAGTTTCATGATCGATACCCAGTACATTATGCAAATATTGTGTAAGCATTTTACATTTCAAAATGTTGGTATTATGCTAATACGCAAATCTTTTCGATTGTATGATTTTTTTTTTTTTTTAAGTTAGATTACGATCAGGATTAAGTTGTAGGATAAAAATGTTATTCATATTGTACATTTTTTATCAGAAAAATATATACATGTTATATTTATATAAATGTTAACTGTTCATTATCTGCAAAAAAATAAATATTGTTGCTTTGTTTTAAAGTGGCAGAAATTATAAACATTGTTCGAGTGTCGTATATATATATATATTAAACGATTTTCTTTTGCAGCATCTAAATTATTAAAAAATATGGTCGATTAAAACAAAGAATGACTAAAACAAGGTTGAATAAAGGAACTCTACTGCATTATTAAAAAACGAGAATGATCATAGATTTATGTACATACTTGTTATTAACAAAATATAGAAATTAACATAATATTTTCAAATCTAAGAATATTTCTATAATAAAATAAATGCATTTATGAATAAAATAATGTATTTATTAGCCTTGATTGTAAAATCGAACAAAGTATTATATACAATAAAAAGCAGTAACATAATAAAACATTGATATTTTACATGAAATATTTTGTATAATAAATGCTACTATAGTCAAGTAAATGTCAATTATTAGAAGTGAAAACTTCTTCTGTATTGAGAAACTTTGCCATATTCATATTTCTTGTATAAAATCTTTTATATAAAAATGCTATTAAAAACTGTATAAAAAATATTGTAGAAAGATAGCACAAAATGGATTTTGTTATTAGAAAATAATTTATATAAATGTATTTTATCTTTATATTAATAAAGTTAAAATTTATCTAGAGGTATACCTATACTTATAACTTCAGTGTATATTTCATCATTTATATCATTGAAATGTAAAAAGTTTTCAATGGAATGAAAGAACAAACATTCTGATATATCTTTGATTTTTCTATTTCTCACTTTAGACAACTGTAGTAACATTGAATGATTTTTACTGTAAGAGCCCCAACACAGATTTTTGCATAACGCATAAAGCATGTGCATAAGGAATTTCATTGGCCCATTTTCTTATGCATGAGTCAATGGACCAATCAAATTTTTTATGTATATGGTTTATGCGTTATGCAAAAGTCTGTGCTCTCCGCTTAAGGCAAGAAACACACTCTTTTGCATAACGCATAAAGCATGTGCATAAGGAGGGAGTTCCTATAAAAAAAATAATACGTTTTTTTTTGTTTATTATGGAAATATGCATTATTATAAATTTATGTATAATAAAATTTGTAATTTTTAGCAATGGATAGGTACTAAAAAACTAAAATAAAGTTTAATAATATTTGAAATTTGAGAAAACGATTTTAATTTGCTGATAAGTGCGTGACGTCACACTGTAGTAAACCGTCTGCAATCGGCTGCTTATGTTGAAAGTCAAAGCACAGTGTAAGGATATACTGTGATCAAAGCAAAATTAACTCTTGAAAATTCTTTATATAAATTTCAAAATTAAAATGTCAAACGAACTAGATCCAAGTTTTATTAAAGCCAATTCGACAAATTTACCGAAAATAACGGTATTTATGGTTTGGGAATACATTGTTAATGATGACCCAGATAACAAAATGCGCGCACAATGCTCTCACAGTGCATTCACGCGTGCAAGATTATCCACACGCGTGAGTGTCATGCGCATGACAATTGTGTCCTCATTTGAATACCATATTGCTCTCACGCATGCGGACGCTCACGAAAAAAAAAATTAGATTTCTTTCTCCACATCATTTGTGTCCTCCCTTAAGTACTGAACTGACTAATAATACCTAGGAAAAAACTTCTAAGCCTGATAGGATTTGAACTCGTGACTCGATCCACGGTCCAATTCTGAGTCGTTCACCTAACGTACTGCTCCACTGTTACCTTATTGACAGAGATGTTTCGAATTGTCTATATATACTTTTAATAAAAATATTTTGTCTATCCAAACAGATTATTTTGTTAAAATTACTAAAAGAACACTTATTTTGTAATGGCAACAAAATTTTACCTTGTTATTTACAAAAAGTAAGTAAGCAAATAAATTTGTACCGCTAAATAAAAAAATTTACAATATTTTGTTCATTTAACGAAAAAATTGTATTTTGTTATATTAACAAAATAATTTAATGATAATCAGCTCGGCGTATGATAAGATGGCGGAAAGCGCGCGATTTTTATTACTGCATGCATGAAAGCAACATAAATGCGTTTTTGCACGCACGTATGATGATCATGCGTGAAGGTAACGTGAATTTTATGTAAATTATATTCCTTCACAGATGACTGTATAATGTTACCTTTTACGCACGCACTCGTGCTTCTCTCTCTTAGTGAGAGTAACATGAATGCGTTATTGCACGAACTCACGACAATCATGCCGTGAGAGTAATATGAGCGCTCACCAATTGTTATCTGGGGAGCGATATAATGCTCCAGAAGTTCGAGGAATAAAAGCAACTCTTTAGATGTAATAATTTTACAAATTCCCAAAATACTTTTATGGGCCTTCTACAATAAGCCATAAGTCATTACTCACATGACATAAGTGTTAAGTCACAATTATAAGTCATAAATCTTAAGGAATTTGCATCTACAATAAGCCGTATTAGATCGTTGCATCATAACAGTTCAGCAATTAGATTCAACAATTAAATTCGACAAGTTTGATGAGTTCCATGTCATAAATTTCTTGTATACATTCATATTCCATTTTTAATACGATGTAAATCACTTCGATCAAAATATTCTCGATTCAGTTTTTAGGTTATACGAAATCAGTTTTCTCGTAAGAAATGGCAGACACATACTGCTTTTTGATTGGTCAGTCATAACGTAATCATAAGCTGTAAGTCAGAAGAGATGGAATTTGGCCATCTTCACTCGGTCACGGACTACCGACTTATTACTGTCTTATGACGCATTACTGACTCGCTTGCAACTAGCTTCTGACTTTTGATTTATGACTTATGGCTTATTGTAGAAGGCCCATTACATTTAACATTCAATGTTTTAGCTTACGTTTTAGGTTATGTTGGATATTTTTACGAACATAATTAATATTTTTACAAATTTATAATATTAAAGCATAAAAAACATATTTTATATAATACCTACATCGAAATGATTTTCACAACAAAAATAATTCCATTTTCCTGGTTCATTAATACGATGTGCACTTTTAAAATACTTTTTTCTCACATTTTCAGCTTAAGGCACATAAAAAAACAATTTTTCTGGTGTTTTAATTGTCGTACTTTTACACAAAGGTACAAAACACGTTTTGTATGTGTTTCATTTGCTCATTTTTTAAACAAATTAATTTTCTGCTGAAGAATTGTGGTTTCGTTGTTGCAGTGTGACGTCACAACGTGTTCGGGAGAGCTCGGTCGTATCCAGACCGTCTTCGGCATTTCAAATATTGCAATACTTTATTATTTATTTTCTTTCATAATTTGCGTTTAAAAATTACTTGAACATTGCAGTTAAAGATATATATAATATAAATTATAAAATGTTATATTTTTCAAAAATCATGAGAACTTCCTATTTCATTGGCCCATTTTCTTATGCATGAGTCAATGAACCAATCAAATTCTTTATGCACATGCTTTATACGTTATGAAAAAGAGTGTGTTTCTCGCCTAAATATATACACCGGTCAACAAAATTAACGTAATACTTGTTTCACTCTGCAAAAATAGGTAAACTTCAAGATAGAATAACTTCGTCAAAAATCATCGTATCGAGATGTTTAAAAAAGCATTTTACAGCTTGAAACGTTTACCTTCCAAATCGTTACTTGAAAAAATGATCTCACGGAGATTTTATGAAGTGTTAAACAAACAAATAAAGATTAAATGAAAAGGTCAAGCCATGTTCAAAAAAAGATCCTCTCAAAAATTTAAACCTTTAAAACTTTAAATGATTATCTAATAATAATAACTTAATCCTCAAAAATTTAAACTTTTAAGACTTTAAATATTATCTAATATAATATATTATTAAGTATATATTAAAAAGTAACTTGTAACTGTAACTTCGTTACAAGTTAACGAGTTACTTCCATTCCCTGTCTAATATATAATATATTCCCTTGTAGAAAAGTACTACTGAGCACTAGGAGTATTTTGAGTCACTACTGTACTACAGCACTACTGTACTACTACACCAGCGCAGTAGTGCTGTAGTAGTAGAGTAGTGCTGTAGTAGTACAGCACTACTCAGCACTACTGTACTACTACAGCACTACTGCGCTGGTGTAGTAGTACAGTAGTGCTGTAGTACAGTAGTGCCTCAAAATACTCCTAGTGCTCAGTAGTACTTTTCTACAAGAGTTATCACGAAAAATAACTGATATATTATTAAATGTGTCATTCAAGTGAACATACATAAAGTGTATATTTTCTAAATTTAATAATATATTACCACGAAAAGTAACTGATATGTTATACAAGGTGCAAGTTAAAAAAATGAACATACATATATATAAGTAAAACAGATTACAATTTAGGCCGCCATGTTCTTTTTCGAGTCATTAACAAATTAATACTTTGAAATTACAAGCATTTATTCTTCATTGTACGGTTTAGTATAAATTTCAAATCAAATCTCAATAATCGACTTTTATATTTTACGCAGAATAACATATCGCATTTATTTTCTAGAAAACTATAATCTGCAA